GTTTTTGCCCATTTTTTCACCATTGCATAAATTAAATAGCCAAAATGTGCTTTTTACTGTTTTGTCTTACTTTTCAAAGAAAAAATAATTTACAAAACAACAATTTAAAAATATTTACTTAACACTGAACATTTTTTAACATTCTAGCAGACATTATAGGCCTACTAATAAAACACAACTTAACTTAAAATGAATACGTTAGTAAAATAATATTTTTTGGCAATTTTTTAGACCCCCCTTCTTAAATCAGGCATGTATTTTTTACTGTAAAAATAAATGCAGCCTTGATGAGCAGAAAAGACTTATTTTAAAACATTAGAAAATATTATAGATCCTAGTCTGAACACTATGTGTAAATGTTACAATAAATGTATTAATATAGCTGTACAATAAATGTATTAATAGAGCTGTTTTAATTATTATTTTATTTTATTTTACAGAACAACAGTAAAATTACAATAACATTTATTAATGTTGATAGAGTTCTTGCTTTTTCTCAACTTTTATTTTGGCAGAAACCCGCAGGAAGACCTCAGTGCTTCTTTTTGTTGACAAATGATTCTCATTATGAATTTGGGAAGGCTTTTGTTGCATGTATCGCATTGTCACATGCTTTGTAAAAATTAATAACATTTTTACTGAGCAGCTGATGAGTAACACAGTTTCAGCACAGATTTCCCTCGCGCTTTGAACTTTGAACCCTGCTGCCGCGAGCTCATGCAGCGCTGTTTGAACACGTGCAATTCCTGCGTGTATTAGAAATCATAACATTCTGCAGTTTATTTAATTATTTAAGGGCATTTCGCGATTTTAATCATCATACAGTATCCAGCAACAACCACCCTTCCTCTTCTCATCGAAGACATGAGATGCAGTACTAAACAGTCTCGCTGTTGGTGCTTGTCATGATTTTTGCGTCTTTCTCAGACAGCTTTAAATGTTTCCACACTGCCGGCATGTTTGCTGCATTAGTGCGCGCCTCTATTTGATCGCGTCACGTCTTTGTTCGGTACAATTTATTTGGTCTTTTCGCTTATTCGGCCGAATAATTTCGGTTGCCGAACATTCGGTGCATCCCTATATATCGGTTTACCACTAATTTTTAACTGGGTCATAAATCCAGTTTTCTCATAATGATAAGCCACATAACGTCACCATATAACCCAAAAAAGTTTCCAGCACAGTTTTCAACAAATTGGCCTCTGAACCCCTAAAATAGGCTGCATGCATAAGGAAATGAAGCCTAGAGTAAATGCACAGTCAGCACCAAGATGCTTATTTTCAGTAGGGGCTTTCTTGGTTCCTCCTGCCAAATGATACTTAGCCGTTCTTCCGAATCCTGTCAGATAGGGCATCGAGATGTCATAACGTAGCTTCACCAGCCAGTAGACTGCAAATTATATTTTACGAAATGTAAATTTTGCTCTTGGTTCCTCATTTAGCGTTATGAATATCCCTTGGTTTCGGTTCTGCAGCTCTTCTGCTCAAGATGCTGATCAGCAGTAGATGGACGACGACTTTAATCACTGATCTGCAGAAGTGGCTTAATCTTATCCTTGTCTCACCTCAGCTAAACATACAGACACTGGAAAATTCCTAGGTAAATTAGTATTACGTGAACAGTGTTTCACATCGTTATTAAACCTGCCACTAAATTCCCTCACGGCTGTAGCACACAGTGTGAAACTGGAGCGTGTGTTTGGTTATATTAATCACGCTCGATTCCCAGAAACAGTATAGTAGGGCTGCACGATATATCGTTTCAGCATCGATATCGCGATGTGCACATAGTCATATCGCAGGATGTGCGATGTTTAGTATAGGCTACTTATATTAAAGAAAGCGGCGCGGCTGGCGTTTTCCACGCGTTTTTAGGCGCGACGTGAACGTCCCCAAAGTCTGTCTACACTAGATGTGACAAAGCGACCGTTGCCAATCATTTGTACTTTGTGTCAGTACGTCATAAATAGAACGCGGCATCAGTTTACTGTCGGGGATTTGTCGTGCCGCGCCGCATCCAGTGTAGACAACATCACTGATTAAAATGGGTTCTATAGTATTTTGTCGCGTCGCGTCTGGTGTAGACTGTGAGAGTCACGCAGATGCACGTGAACACTGAATATTTGTGCCTGAAATATTGTGTTCTGCAAGTATCCTTGTAAACGCAGTTGCTTATGGCATAGGTGAAGGGAAACAATTGAGAAAGAAAATGGATGTGTAACAGTATATTGGTTCACAGCAGATTTAATTTATACAGTGAAGACTATGCAGTGTGATTTTACATTTGATTATTCAATTTCTGTACCTGAATACTGTTAGACTTACCTGAAAAATATAAAGCACTGCTTATTTAATTTGTATCTTTGTTCTGATATATTTATCTATGCTTGTAATTTGTTCATTTCCTATGCTGATTTACTTGCCTACAAAATCACCCCAATCATTATTATTTTTCCAAATAAAAAAAGTCATGTGGTGATTTTTTTTTTCATATCGCAGAAAAATAAAATATCGCAATGTGAGTTTTTTTCCAATATCGTGCAGCCCTACAGTATAGCACAGTTTTCCTTGCAGGCTGAAATGCAAAAGTTGCTTTTATCTGATTTAGGTTATCGGAGCTTGTATCGGAGGCTTGAAGGCGTTTGTTGTGCTATCTGTCACGAATTAAGGCTATACATGGATTTAATGACTTCTCCACCTGTGTTTTGAAGCGTGTCTAAGCAGCTGGGAGGCTGCCAGGTGCAGAATCGGGCCTACAAACATTAAAAAGCAGATAAGAGGATGTTAAAGGGCGGATGTGGAGGACATGGTTGCAGTTTCTCGGGTTGTATTTATAACAGTAGGTGATAATGGTCGGTTGCGCTGCAGTTTCAGACTAATGCAGACCCCACAGAATTTCCAGAGAATTGTTTTCCTTTAAAAAAAAATTGTACCTTGTAGCACAAGCATTTAATATTTTTATGGAAACTGAACTGTGATACTTTAAATGGAAATTTCAAAAGAACAGCATTTATTTGAAATACTTTTTTTTGTAATACTATGATCTATTTAATGCATCCTCGTTGAATAAAAGTGATAATTTCTTAATTTTTTTTTACATAACTCTTGAACAGTAGTGTAAGTCCAGTAAGAATTTTTTTTACATAACTCTTGAACAGTAGTGTAAGTCCAGTAAGAATTTTTTTTACATAACTCTTGAACAGTAGTGTAAGTCCAGTAAGTAACTATAATGTACATACAGATAAATGCTCATGCGTGCTAAAATATTCACCTAAATCTGTTATGCTGAGGTTTGCGTTGTGAACTTCCTGTGTGGGTTGAAACTAGAGCCCGACCGATAAATAGTTTTGCCGATATTATCGGCCGATATGAGCCTGTCGCCGATATATCGGTATCGGCGAATATGCCGCCAATATGAACATTTACTTTTACAGAACATATAACACCGATAAAATGCTTGAAACGATGTAATTACTTAGTTTGTCCAGCAGAGCACGCTCCATTGTTTGCTACTGGCGACCTGGATGAAACGCTTTAACGCTTAAGTCAATGGAAAACTGTTGAAACTTTGAACGGCCATATCTCCGTAACGGTGTGGCGAATCCGCACCAAATTTGGAGGATCTCTTCAGCTCGAGGAACTCTCTCGAACGCGAATCGAGTGTACCAAGGTTATTTTCGTAAACGAAAACTAAAACTAAGACGAAAACGATTGGTCAAAAAACATTTTCGTAAACTGAAAAAAACAAAAAACATCAACATAAATGAAAAACGAAACGAAACTAACAACAGTTATTGCAAAACTAACTGAAATAAAATAATAATTATCAAAAATAAATAACCATTTTCGGAATCATTATGTTCTCACCCCGTGGCGGAAAAATATCTGTGTGTCGGTTTAGGGAAATACCCGTAAATGGTGCATCATACACGTGAGGTTAGCTGACGGAGAGACGCAAAGCAGTTTAAAGCAGAGTCCTGCACGGGTCCTGTTAGGTAAACCTGCATCCGCAGTACACAACAGAACACCCGACCCGTTATCCGACAGCAGCCAGCACCAATTTAATTCTGTAACTTACTCGACCCGTTTGACATAAAGACCGCGACCTGAACCGCACTCGCATTAAATAGGCTACTGCATCAGTAAGGCAAAATTATTTATTTTCTCATGTAACACAAGCAATCAAACCAAAATTAGGCATTCTAAGTTGGTGCTTTGAAGAAAAACAGACACGCAGCGCAACGTAATATTCATTTTGGTGTGTATTTGTATACTTTTACCATCTAATCAATCTCAGCATGCTTTAATTTTGTGTCCCTAGACGTGTGCATCACTAAGGTTAAATTAGCCATCTTTCTTTGGCCTGCGCCGTGGAAGTGATCTGTTAAATCTAAAAAACTTTAATTACTAAAACTGAAACTAAACTATATAAAAACTAAATAGAAATGTGTTCACAAAATAAAAACTAAACTAAAACTAACAAAATTATTAATGAAACGAATAAAAACGAAAATAAATTTTTTTGCAAATTTGAAAACGATATTAAAATAAAACTAATTTAAAATTGCAAAACTATAATAACCTTGCTGATGTCAGACTCATTTTGGATAATAAAGTTTATTGTTAAATGCCTTGCATCCATTACGTATCTCTGTCTCGTCATTATAAGTGTTTGATCACCACATTTGAGTGATCATTGCAAAAAATGTGTTTATGTATATATATTCTGTTTATGTATATACTGTATTCTATATATAGTACCAGTCAAATGTTTGGACACACGAATGGGAAAGTGTCCAAACTTTTGACTGGTATTGTACTATAATATACACTAAGAATATCGATCGATATATCGATATCGGCCTTTTTTTTTTTACTCCCTAATATCGGTATCGGCCCCAAAAAACCCATATCGGTCTGGCTCTAGTTGAAACTATGACGTGGCTCTTTGTTAACAGTAAATAACCTGATTTTTTAAATCTCTTTCTGTCTGTCTGCAGTGTGCCGGGACTTTGCCGTGCTAGAAGACCACTGTCTGGCCCACAACCTTCAGGAACAGGAAAGTAAGTCCTCTCATACCCTCTACCCTCTTAAATGAACGTTAAAGCATGGAAAGTTATGACCTGTAATCCTGAAGCTGTTTGTTGACACTAAATGAGTCATTCAAAGCCACTACGGTGTTTCCCCATCCTTAACAGAGCATAAAAATGAATGAGAGTGGAAAGAAAAGTCCAAACTCATCTCAGCATCTTCCCCTTTTAACTGCAGTGTGAGGTTTTACACCTTCACCACAGATCACACATGCCATCATATTGATTTTATTAGCGCTTGTGTATGGGGAAACCATGTTGAAAAAGACAAAGAGCTCTTGAGGATACGATGGTAAATGTGTGGCCACATTTACTGTTGTTTGGTGAATTTTTGAAATCCATTTCAATAGGCATCCACGCATTTGGGATTTTCATGTGAGGGCGAAACTAAGGTTTCCACAAGTAGACGGGTTCAAGTTGGTTACGCAAATTCCCCGTGTTGACCAACAGAAAGCTGTTTAGTTTTAAAGTGACTTCTGTGTCGGCGGCAATAACCTCGTGGGCAGCTCGTCGACGTCCCGAGTTCGAATACTTCATACATTTACACTACTAGCAATGGACCATTTGTCTAATGAAATGACACCTTGAAGAGGTAGTTCCCCCAAAAATGAAAATTGTCATTAATTACTCACCCTCATGTCGTTCCAAACCCGTAAGACCTTTGTTCATCTTCGGAACACAAATTAAGATATTTTTGAAGACATCCGAGAGCAGACAGCAACGTAACTGACACGTTTAAGCCCCAGAAAGGTAGTAAGGACATCATTAAAATAGTTCATGTGACATCAGTGGTTCAACTGTAATGTTATGAAGCTCCGAGAATACTTTTTGTGCGCAAAAAAACAACAAAAATAATGACTTTTTTCAACAATTTCTTCTCTTCCGTGTCAGTCTTCTTCACGCATTCACGACAGTACCATGACACACGCATGTTTACTTTGCACACAAAAAGTATTCTTGTAGCTTCATAACATTACGTTTAAACCACTGATGCCACATGGACTATTTTAATGATATCTTTACTACCTTTCTGGGCCTTGAACGTCTCAGTTGTGTTGTTGTCTATGCAGGATCAGAGAGCTCTCAGATTTCATCAAAAATATCTTAATTTGTGGTCTGAAGGTGAACGAAGGTCTTACTGGTTTAGAACGGCATGTAGGTGACAGAATTTTCATTTTTGGGTGAGCTATCCCTTTAAGACAAAGCATCTGATTGTGTTTTCCCGAAGAGGCATAGCAGATTCTTTCAACAATATGGTGTTGGAAAGATCTGAAAACTCCCTGTTTTAGAGTTGATACGTGGGCAGGTGTTAGAAACATAACTCCTCTCTTGTGAAATTCAATTATTCAGAAGTCTTCTAGCAAATCCATATTTCTGTGTGATCACAAAACTTTGATCTGCTCAATCAATACTAGGGGTTATTAACGGTTCTCGGTAAAAAATCGAACCGTACCGTTCTCCACACACGGTTCGGCATACACTAGGACCGCGGTTCAACTTAAATCTGACAATGCATCTGTAATAGCCCATTTAAGCCTTGCCAGTTTAAATATTAAAGAGCCAGAAGACGTGAACTCGCGCAGTGAGAAGATCTGTGTGGTCGCTCATCCGAAGCGTGTGAACCAGTGTCTCGGAACGCCGCAAATATTAAGCTCTCTGTGAAGTATTGTGTTTGAATGGACAAATTCACACAAAAATTGTCAAAATGCCCGTCTTGGTGAGTATCCTAGCAGACATAGTCGGCTGAACGTACAGTATCAGTGCACTGGATCAGTGCATTCTCTTAAAGTGACAGCACTTTCTTAATGTTAATCTAACAGACACAACATGGAAATCTCTCACTGCTCTTGATTGAATAACTTTTGTAACTTTAATAAGGATTAATCTTTAATTTATACAGTCAAATACGCAATGTTATTTTACATTTGAGTTATTCAATTTCTGTACCTAAAAAAACTTAGACCTACCTAAAAAAACTGAAAAGCACTGTTTATTTTATTTGTATCTTTTTTCACTGTTAGATTATTTGTTCTTATTTTCTTTATTTTTATTTGACAATATAGTTTTTTCCCTAAACATAGCACATACCGAACCGTACCGAAACCGTGATACAAACCGAACCGTGAGTAAGTTGAACCGTTGCACCCCTAATCAATACTATAAATGAACCCGTGAGAGTTCCTTAAAAATCTGACCATGTGATCATCATCCTCTAAAAGACTGGTTATTTTCTTTTCAGCAGAGCAATGCTATTATAGTATTATTTAGCATAGTATTTATTCATATTTTGAATTATTTCAGATTTCAATAACATTTTTAAGTTTTAGTCATATATTTTGAATTATTTCAGTTTTGATTTCAAGTTTTAAGTTTTAGTCATAGTTTTTTTTTTTTATTAATATTCATTTTTAGTAATTTTTCGTTTGAATAATTTTAGATCTTCAGCTTATTTGTGTAGCCATGTCAGCATTTTAACAAGGTTTTCATTTATTTCAATTTATTTAACTTTTCAGTAGGGATGTAACGATTCACTCAACTCACGATTCGATTCGATTCACGATTATTATTATTATTTCTTTTTAACAAAATGAGATTTAAGACAAATTATAAATTAAATGTTGCCAGCAGGTGGCGCTTAAAGCGTTTCCTTGGTTTCCGCTGTAAACAAAGCAGCGCTGAACTTATGAACTTTAATATGCGTTATACAGAGGCAAGATGAAAAAGACAGTAAGTTCCCCTCAGACATGGATTCTTATAAACTCCTACACCTAAATGAATCGCGATTTGTTTAGCATCTCAACCGATTTGAATCGTCACATATTTAATCGATTTTCAACCGGCTCGCGGTTAATCGTTACATCCCTACTTTTCAGTTAAATTATTTTTAATGTTTTATAGATTTATTTAGTTTATAATAGTGCTGTCAAACGATTAATCGCGATTAATCACATCCAAAATAAAAGTTTTTGTTTACATAATATATGTGTGTGTGTACTGTGTATATTTATTAAGTATATATAAATACACACATGCATGTAAATATTTAAGAAAAAATATGTTACGTTTATATATGAAATATATTTATATATGATAATTTACATGAACATAAATATATACATGTAAATATTTTCAAAATATATGCTGTATGTGTGTCTTTATATATAAATAATAAATATGCACAGTACACGCGCATATATTATGTAAACAAAAACTTTTATTTTGGATGCGATTAATCGCAATTAATCGTTTGGCAGCACTAGTTTATAATAACAACAGTATTTTTTAATTAGTTTGAATAATTTGAGATCTTCAACTTTAGTTGTCAAGGCAGAATTGTAAGTTTTAATATAGTTTTTTTTTTTTT